GGAAACACAAATTGATAAGAAATGCCTAAAGAAACATCCTCAGCCATCTGGCTGCCAGCTTTTTAACTGAGCATTCACCAGGTTTTCTGGTTCTTAAGAATTCAGAGTGTTCATTGTTGAGCCACACATCCTCCAATTCTGTTCTTTAAGTGAGCTCTAATACATAGGGTGCTCTAATTCACAGGAGCTCTACTAAACAGTGGCCTCTCAAGTCACTGTGTACCCTTAATAGTTTTTGCTACATTTTAACATGTTTTTACTTTTCACTGACTTTGCTTCCTCCCCTTACAGTGATACACAGAAGCAATCAGCTTCCCATTTGCTCATCTTAATATCTATGTTTCACTTGTCTTCAAGTGCCAGAAGAACTTCAAATGTCGTGAGGAATGTCCATTTTACAATACTTTGTGAACAATCTGGGGGCATGAGGACTTTGGACCCACTCCTGATCAGGTAATAATGATGTTATAAGAATTTTATACCCTGCCTTCTCACTGATTTTGTTCCACTGATCACTTCAGGCCCCACTCAGAATTTACCACTCCCATAATACAACTCACTCTCTTCATTCTAGGCCTCAACCCTGAACAATCTCAACTTTCCTCATAGGACCATCACCATGGATTCAACTAGCTCATAAATTCCACAATCTCTGATATGAATCACCAGGATCCCAGAAAGATCCACTTGGACACCACAATACTTGTCAAAAGAATAGAAACCAACAGTTATTCTCATTGACTTTGCCTTTAAACAAATATACCAGAGTAAGAGCCAAAGTTAATATCATAGACTCTACCTTTACAGGCCCAGGAAAGTTAGAACTGTGATTCCCTAATGTGCAGTATCAGGAAAATAGTAACAGTGGAAGCTATTCTACCTCCTCCATATGGGTTCTATGACTATCATATGAGATACAATGCAAATAAAAGCAACCTTGCAGTTTTGGGCTTATTGTTATTATCATCTGTTCTTTTATCATTGAAGTTCTTTCAGCAGGAATGTTCTAGTATTGGAAAATGTCCTCAAAAAAAAAGAATAAATTTTCATTGTCAGGGCTTTATTAAAAACATAAATGAACATTTATTTGGGGCTTACCTCAGGCTAGCCACAATTTCAGACATTTTTCCATGTATTACTCATTCAATTATAAGACCTTCTTTGAGAACAATGTGTGCCTTATTCAGTTACTAAGTGCTTCTAGTTTTCATCTCAAGCTGAATATAGTTTTATGAAAGTCAAATTCACTTATAATGGATGATTATCTTGGAAATAATGATCCCTCAAATAAGTATAATGATTGACATTTTATAGGGAGCAGAGGTCACATTCAAATGTCCTAACAAAGTACAAAATAATAGTCTTTTACATCAGGGAAGGAAACTTAGACTGAGATCATGGCCTGAAAAGTAAGAAACACGGGTAATGAACTCATGCCTTTAAAATACACTCTTTGTTTTCCTTTTACAATTTTCATGCTTGTGTGTGTGTGTGTGTATGTGTGTGTGTTTATATGTATTATGAATGTGTACATTTATGCTTGCATGTATGTGGGTATACGGAGGGGTGTATGTCAGGAATCATCCTTGGTCACTCTTCTACATCATTCACTGAGGCAAGGTCTCTCAGTCAAACTCAGAGGTCGCTGATATGGCTAGTCTCCCCAATCAGCTAGCTCTGGGCATCCTTTGTCTCTGCCTGCTGAGGCAGTAATTACAGGTGGCCACCATACTCCTTTGGAATTTTATGTGGGTTCGAAGGATCCAAACTCTACTCGTCTGAAAGTGCTTTCACCACAGAACAATCTTCACAGTCCCCGAATGCACGTTCTCAATAACTGCACTCCAAAGTCTCTCTAGGAGGGCCTGGCAAGGGCTGTGCTGCAACAAGATTTTTAATGAGCAAGTGCTAAATTCCTCCGTCCAGATCATTTCTTCCAACTATTTCATTTGGAAGGAAAATGAAACAGCATGGGACACAACGGAAAGTAGTGGGTGTCATTAAACTGGTATGACAAATGGAAGCGTGGAGAAAGAGACGATCTAATGGCCCCATGGAAATGAAAAAGCAAGGCTTGCACCTTGGTGCAATTCTCCACTCTCCCCTTCAGTCCTCCTAATAATGCTGACTTACAGCTTGTAAAATGCCACAGCAGAAGGGAAACGAATTCCTGTTTGCCTAGCCCTGCCACCTCCTTCCCTGTGTCAGTGGTACTGTGGAAAGCTACCATATAGACCTAATACTTTCTGCCACACTTCAGTACACTTTTTCTTCCCATAGCTTTTGCTTATTTTTTTTTTCCTACAATGAGACAGAGAAGCAATTACCACTCTGTCTGCTCATCTTGATACCCATGCTTCACTGGGCCAGAAAGAAGAGGAAATGAGAATGAGAGAGCTGAAGATCAAAGACCTAAAACGTGAGGAAGATATACAAAGTTTTTAATTCAATGAGATTTGCGTAGAAATGGGCACTTAAAGTTTCTACCTTCCTCTCTTAGGGAAAAGTTTAATTGCATCTGACTAAGGCAAGGAAATGTGAAATAATATCTTTAAGATTCATGAAGTCTGACATACTATACCTTGCATTTATGTTGTGACTTACTATAAACAGGGCATGCTCCATACCTGATTTCATGTATTACTATAAAGCAATGCTAATTCATTAAGCAATCATTTGAGCTTAGAATCTGAAAGGATTTAGTAGAAAAATATATATATCATTCCGAGTAGCTACAGAGAACTACTCATTGAACTGAGTGATTTGCATTTGTTATCTCCAGTCCCCACAATGACCCAGCAAGGCAGGCACATCAGTCAGGATTACAGCAGAGTTTGAAGTCCTCCAACACATATTGCTGAAATAACCAAGACCAGGAAAAGCAGAGGAACTCGGAAAGTGTAGCAAATGGCCACAGGAGCCACAGCTTTCCGTGGAGCAAAGCAGACAACTCTATGAGGCAAAAGGAATCAACACAGGGGAATACTGTACTCACTGTGGCCCTGCCTTCTGGCTTATTGTTTGCCTTTCCTCTCATCACTCTACTAACTGAACACAACGGGGACCAAAGGACAGGATACTCTACCAAAACGAGACAATCTTTAACACAAGTGTCCTGAGCGCAGGGCAGAGTGGAGAAGGTGAAAAGTGTGTCTAGAGGGGAGACAAAGTTACCTTTTCTGATCCATCCTTTCCTCTAGTACCAACTCCCATCATCTACTTGTATCTTTAATACAATTGATAACCACTCCAAGTCAGAATGGGATGATGACAATCTAGTCTCTTAAAAACTGGAACCTAAAGCGTGAGTAACTACAACCTTTTAAAAAGAGACTGAAAGAATGCAAGCGAATCAGGAATAACTAGGTAGCATATAATTCAGCTGTTAGAATATCATTCTGCAGTCTGTAATTGAGCACAAGGCCTGAATTGATGAGCATAGCAGCCAGGTTTCCTCCACCATTCCACACTCCTCTTTTGCTCTCTGCATGTTTCTTAATAGGATTGTCTTCTTTAGTGACAAGATGCCTGGCTCTAAGGGGTCACTGAGACCCTCACCCTTGGTGAGTGCACTATGGTCATGGGCAGAGAAAACAAGTGTTTTCTCAATTTCAAAAGCAAGTATTATTGATATGCTTCTCTCCAAGAATCCTGATGTCTCACAGACATCCTCCTCTACTATATAAATTTAGTCTATACCCAGGGCCAACAACACCTACTGACATAGTAAGATCTTTTTACTGGTCCAAAGAACAAGGTAGAGAAGGGTGAACACCACAACCCAAGAACAAAGATTCAGCACCACAGAGATCCATGTTTCTTTACCAGATAAAAAAGTTAAGGCATCTGCGGCAGGAGAAATGGCTCAGTGGTTAAAAGAATTGCCTTCCCTTTCAGAAGACCTGGGTCCAGTTCTCAGCATCCATAACCATCTGTACTCCATTTCCAGAGGATCTGACACCTTCTTCTGGCATCTAGAAGCATCAGGCATGCATGTGATACACAAACATGGATGCTGACAAAACACCCATACCTGTGCAATAAAAATTTAAGTTGAAAAACAAAAAGGAAGAAAAAGGAATTAAGACTCCAAAAGGCAAAGGAGTTTGCCTCGAGTCACACAGTCTAAATCCTGTGTTAGTTTGTAAGCCACTGACATCCCATGGAGGAGAAAAATGTCTTTCAGCTTCTAGTCAAGGAAAATTAGGTTCATCTTAGATGCAACCAATTATCAGCTTAAAACACTTTGTTACACTGATAAGAAAATCCCAAGTTCCCTCCCGTGGTCATTAAAATTAAATTGTAAAGATTATGATGAGTACAGGATTGAAAGAGATCTGCTCACTCCGTGTTATGTGTTCTTAAAGATGACGTCACCCCTAATCACCGTGACCTATCCAGCCACTAGGACAGCAATGTCTAATTCAAATACATGCGATGTATATGAGTAACTTTATATTTTCTGGTAACCATGGTTTTTTTTTCTTTTTTTCTGGAGCTGAGGACCGAACCCAGGGCCTCCCACTGAGCTAAATCCCCAGCCCCGGTAACCATGTTTTTAAAAGTAAATGGAAATAATTGAAATTTGTTTTACTAGTATATCTTAACCCAACATGTTCAAAACATACTCATGAATACATAGTTCATTTTTATAAAATTGACTCATTGTGATGTTTTCATAACTTAATGCAGAGTTGTCTTGGTGATAACAAACACATTAGAGCAATGGTAGATTTCCTGGTTTACAGTCTTGGATAATTTAATGAGTTCATAGAACTGCTGGAAAACCCACAAGACTGTATTTATAGATCCATCATTATTAGGATGCTTGTAACCTCCAAATAAGCAAAAACAAAACAACAACAACAAAAAAAAACCACTAATGTAGACAAGACCTGGGGAAGAAAAACAATGTTGACATCTGGCCTCCATATACATACACATACATACACACACACACACACACACACACACACACACACACACACACACACACTGAGCCTTAATGCCCTATAAGGCAAAGACAGGGCACACCTGAAATTGCTAGAGCCCACTTTAAGGAGACAAGGGCCCTGCTCCTGGTTTTGTTGCTCTGCTATCATAATCTTACAATTCTTAATAATTTTGTATTTGGACTTGTGGTTTTCAAGTAAAATTTGATGAAACAACAGAGAATTGTGTAAGCAGAGAAGACAGATGTAGCATGGAAGTTGTACACGTCCTCTTTTATTTTTTCTGTTACACTATAGCATGCATGCTGCCTCATTAGCAGGGAATTCAGGAGTCAGACAGTGCGGAACAGTTCAACAAGACTCACAGTCAGTAAAAGACAAATACACAACCAAGTACACAGACAGCCCAGAGAGGCAACACTTCTATTTGACACAGCTTGCTCAAACTCAGGGCATTTTTTTCCTAAGAGACAGGAGCCACCATCACATCCTTGAAACATG